AATAAGATTCCTCTGTCTCTCTCTGTCTCTGTCTCTCTCTCTCTTTTTCTCCCTCTGTCTCTCATGGGATATTTGCATAGCAGAACTGCCTGTTGAGTTTTAAATCCTGTATTTTCCTCATCAATCCAGGAGTGAAGTTACTACTTTAAAAGATTCCTCCACTTCTTTAAATTCCTTTTTAAACTTAATTTTTAAAATCAGCGTATAAAAACATCAATAGAAGTGGAAGTAAAATGGCATTTTTTTTTTTTAATTTAAACTTAAAAATTAACCAAAAAAGAAAAGCAAGGATCTTTTCTCGCTTTTCTTGCTTTTTTGAAAGGAAGAAATCTGAAAGGATTTCCTATACCATGATTCTGTTGGCTCTCTAATCCCAATGATCTGGATTCTTCCTTGAATTTTTAAAAAAAAAAGTATTTTTATTGATTTCAGAAAGAGGAGGGGAGAGGGAGAGAGAGATAGAAATATCAGTGATGAGAGAGTCATTGATCGGCTGCCTCCTGCACGCCCCCAATAGGGGATCGAGCCCGCAACTCGGGCATGTGCCCCGACCAGGAATTGAACTGAGATCTCCTGGATCTTAGGTCGATGCTCAACCTCTGAGCCACGCCGGCCAGGCTCTTCCTTGAATTTTATGGTCTTTTTAATATTATTAATAACAACTAACACTTCTAACATCTGCCAGTTTAATGGTATTTATTCTTCACATCAGCCCTCTAACTCCCAATCTGTAAATTTCATTATCTTTACGCCTCGCTCCAGCCCTTTAGACATCTGTTGCCACTATTTTACAGATGAAAGCAGTGAGGCTTAGACTAGGCCACTCGCGTCCTTGGAGTTCACCTTGCAGAGTGGAGACTGGGGTAATGGTCTGACTCATGCTGATAACTGTGCTGCTCTAATCCGCATTCAAGGATCTCGCTTCTTTTCCGTTCCTCTCATTTTCATGCAACGGAAGATCAGAGAAATGGATTGAGGCACTTCCCCCTCGCTCTGTGCACTGTCCGTCTTTCTACAACGGGTAGCTCGAGTGGTCGCTTAAATCTTCATTTCAGATATCCGTCCCTTTATTGTATCTGCCCCAGGCTTTTTCTCAGATAAAAATACAAAACAAGAACATCTCGCTTCTTGAACTGGCAAATGCAAAACCGTGCCAGAGTTTACAAGGAAAAACATTGCCTTCCCCTTGTACTGTATTTTCTACTTTCCTTGCGCTCACAAATGAGCGCATGGACAGCTCGTGTGTGCAGATCGCCGCCGTTACAGAGGTTTCTCCTCGGGACCTTCCTACAAAACTGTAAGAAGTGCAGGTGACATCCCGTGCTAATCCTTAGCGAGTTGTTTCACTAAGAATTTTATTTGCCTCCTAATCTAGTCCTGCCATTTAGAAATAGTTTTTGCCTAGGCTACTGGTTTCTTCCAGAAATATCTTACCAAAATACGTTACATGTAAAACTCTATGAGTCCAGGTTGTTTTCAATATGAACTCTGATGAGCCTACGCTAATCATTGGGGGAAAGGAAGCTAACGACTTGCGTATCTGCCAGCTGAGGCACCCCGTGCCTGCTGTCCTAGGCCACTGGCCTGCGTGCGGTGGGGGCTTTTCCTCGGTTGCACTCCCAGGGTTCCCTCTCAGGCCCTGAGCCCAGCCTGCCGGCCCTTCCCCGTCAAGCTCTTGCCCGCACCTCGCCTCCTGCCGGTCTGCTAGGACTCGTTCAAGCACTGTCCTTGGAGAGAGATTTAGTCTGTCCAGCTTACTGTCCTTCTTAGCTCTAAAGACACCAGACAGGACTTTTTCTGAAGCCATTACCTAATTTTTTTATGATTACTTTTGTTCCTTACTTCCCATGATGACAGAATGTGCTTATTCAGGGAGAACCTTAAAAATTTACAAAATGTCCTTGTCTGTGGAAGTCTCAGGGAGTAAGAATCCTCTGAGCCCCTGACTCAGCTTCATCCAGGGGGACCCATGGACACCATGTTGGGTATGTCCACAAAGTGCCATATTCCATTCTGTCATTACATTTCTATCGCCCAGAGAATTAGTCAGTTTCCCATTTTCTGTATCTGCTAATTGGAATTTCAATATATATCCTTTAACTGTGCTCTGGTTTCATAAATTAAAAAATAAATCAGTTTATAAGAAGTCAAAAGTATATCTGTCGGCTTCAAGTAAATCAACTCGATAATATTTGAGCTGCTTTGTGAGCTATTTTATCGACCATAATTCGCTGTTTCCTGGGAGTCCCAGTGAAGTGTTGCTGGAAGTCAGTCTAAGCCCCTTCCTTTTAAGAGAAACAGCAGATGCATTAGGCGTAGACATGAGTTCACATGAGATAGAGCATATGTCTCTCACATTTGCAACTTTATGGCACTCGGATCAACGTGTCTGCTAGTTAGCACGTTGGCCAACCACAGGAATGTAGACGGGATTTGGAGGCCAGCTTTGGGACACATTGGGAAGCGTCACCCCAGCAGTATCGAGGGAGAGAGGAGGCGTTATGAGCGTGGGATACACAATATCCGCTGTAAGCAGGCTGGGTTTAAGCGACTTTTTCTAAGAAATGGACAGAAAGTTCCTGGACTAGATGACGGGTTAACTTCCTGTCACTTCTGATTCTGCACTGACAGGTCCTGGTTTTACTTGTCTTTGTCATGCTTTCGGCTTTCAACCTGGGATCCCCAGAAATGACATTCCCAACGAGGAAACCAAAAGGGCTTGACATGTGCTCCTCTGAGCGACGAAGGTCCCTTTCTCTGATCTGGGCCACCTCAGAACTTGCTTTGCTTGGGCTCTCCTTTACACTGGGCCGGGCGCGACAGTAATTTCAACCCGACTTTAGATGCTTCTTCATCTTTAGCCAATAGGAGATTTTGATCTTGTCTATCAGTACAGTTCAGGAAAAAGTCTCTATAGAGAACGCTGAGGTTGGGTCCTCAGTTTCGCTTCTTCCGTCACCAGCGAACTGTTTCTCATGAGGCAGCGACTTACTTACTCTCCCGTGTGACACGCTAAGAAAACCTGCACAGACCTGACGTGCCTGTTGCCATTGGTCAGGATGACTCAGAATGAGCAGGGGTCACGGTCTGCATCACATGGTGGGCTTTCCCCAGATGGAAGTGCGTGCAGTTATTCACAAATCACGTTCACCTGGGTTATAACGGGTAATACTGAGGACTGACGGCCGTGTTGGGAAGAGGCATAGTTCACACACGGTCGGAGGGAGAAGTTGGTGCAGATTTTCTGCAGGGAAGCTGGCCGTGGGTGTCACCAAAGCTTCTGAATGTCTGTACTTTTAGCGTCTGCAGTTTTACTTTTAGAATACATCCTATAGAAATAGTCATGGGTATAGACAAAACTTCAGGTTGAAAGAATATTAATCACAGTGCTATTAAACATAAGAGAAATAAGAATTAAAAATATCCAGCGAGAAGAAATGAAATACATTGTGATCATGGCATATTGTACTAATTGTAAATAACACCTGTAAAATATCGTTTTAACACATAAAAGTGTTCATTATATTAAGTGAAAATGGTAGATGAAAAATAGTCTGTATAGAATGATCCCAATTTTAAAATATAAATATGGGGATCTAAATTTTTTTCTAAAAGAAAACATTGGAGTTATTTTTTAAATAGTCCGTTGAGTTTGAAACTTTAGCCTAATTTAACCATAAAGATAGTTCAGGCTGTTTTCTGAAAAAATGTGAAAAGAGTGTAAATGGTCAGCACCAGGCCGCATGGTTTTTCAGTGTGATGGTGCCGTCCAGCCCTCCTCTGACCCTTTCCCCCTCTGCTCCTGGACAGACCAGGCACTGCCCAGGGGGGGCTCGCGAGACAGAACTAACCAAATGACGCTCCTGCCGTTCCCATCCCTGCCACGCGCTCAGAATCCATCAGAACAGCTGTAGGCGGCCAGCATGGTGGCCGGTGGAGAGGAAGGTCTGCAGGGGACTCGATGGCAATGGGAGTTGCCCGATCTGGGGACATACTGTGATGACAAAGGATCCTGTCTCACCAGAAAATGAGAGGAGCTCTGATACTGGTTCTTACGTTAAGTTATAAACAGGAAAAGGGAAACGACCGAAACAAAATACGATTACAGTGCAGCCGTCGTCGCCTTTAAATGTACCCACTGTTAATGTCGGTCAGTTTCCCCTTTCGCTGTTCACACTTGAAACAACTACAGAAATGCCATCCCGTTGACCTGGATTTAAGGTATGTACCTGTGCTCACTGCGCGTAGCCACAGCTCTTTCACTTCTGCCTGTGTTTCAGCACCACGTGAGAGTAAGGAAATAAATACTATCCAAAAGAAAACGACAGACACTGGAGATGGGAGGGAGGAACCAGAGGTGCTGCTAGGAAATATCAGGCAGCTGTTGAAAGGAGGAGATGACAAAGTTTCAAAGACACTACAAAATGGAGGAGTGGTTTAGATGCGATTTCCAATCTGAAAGAAGTGGGTAGAAAAGCGTGTGGGAAGGCGGATGGATACGTAAGCAAGGGGAACCTAATCACTTCTTATCTTGGACCCAGAAGGCGAGCCAGCCTAGGAAATGGGGCTGCCTCCTGTGGCAGATGCTTGGTCAGGGTCATCTTTCTTCTTTCTACATCAATAACCCAGACGCACAGCGTCGAAGGGCAGCCGGGATCCCTGGAATTCTCCCAAACCACATATGTGTGTAGGTGTGTGTATCCTATTAATTAGAGTACATAATAATATATCATATTATCTTATAGTTTATTATCTGTATATAGATACATATATATTCCATTATTTCATTGATACAAGGGGAATTTTTTTCTGATTTAGATGAGTACACCAAGTTAGGTTTTTACAAAATATCTAAAAATAGATGATAGAGAATCCATTCAAAGTAATACATTTCTAACTGCCCACACTGTAACATTTAGGACATATTTTGTGTCTCGATTGCCTCGCAGCTGTGACCTTCCTGTCCTGGTCGTGGACTTACCTGCCTCTGCCCCAGGAGCATGGGAGGCAACCAGACTTGGATCCCGGAAGTCACCCTGCTGGGGTTCCAGGTGGAGCCAGCCCTGGAGCTTTTCCTGCTTGGGCTCTTCTCGCTCTTCTATACCCTCACCCTTGTGGGGAATGGAGTCATCCTGGGCCTTGTTTGCTTTGATCGTAGGCTTCACTCCCCCATGTACTTCTTCCTCTCCCACCTGGCCGTGGTCGACATGTCCTACGCTTCCAACAACGTCCCCAAGATGCTGGCAAACTTAGTGAGCCAGAGTAGAACCATCGCCTTTGTCCCTTGCCTTATGCAGACTTACTTGTATCTGGCCTTTGCTCACGCAGAGTGCCTGATTTTGGTGGTGATGTCCTATGATCGGTACGTGGCCATCTGCCACCCCCTCCATTACTCTGTCATCATGAGCTGGAGAGTGTGCACGGCCCTGGCCGCCACTTCTTGGGTGTTCAGCTTCCTCTTGGCTCTGGTCCACGTGGTTCTCATCCTGAGGCTGCCCTTCTGTGGGCCTCATGAAATCAACCACTTCTTCTGTGAGATCTTGTCTGTCCTCAGGCTGGCCTGCACCGACACTAGGCTCAACCAGCTGGTCATCTTTGTGGCCTGTGTGTTTATCTTAGTGGGGCCCCTCAGCTTGGTGCTGGTGTCCTACACACGCATCCTCTTTGCCATCCTGAGGATCCAGTCTGGGGAGGGCCACAGAAAGGCCTTCTCCACCTGCTCGTCCCACCTCTGCGTGGTTGGGCTCTTCTTTGGCAGCGCCATCGTCATGTACATGGCCCCCAAATCCCGCCACCCTGAGGAGCAGCAGAAGATCCTTTCCCTGTTTTATAGCCTTTTCAACCCCATGCTGAACCCGTTGATCTACAGCCTGAGGAATGCAGAGGTCATGGGCGCCCTTAGGAGAGCAGTGTGCAAGGAGAGGCCAACTTGAGGGACATTAGAGAGCAACGTGGGGGCAAGGGCCTTTGCTCCCCTTGAAATATGGTAGGTAGAATTTTCTGCCTTGTGCTATAACAAATGCCACATTAAATAGACTATTATAGGCCTCATTCAATAACCTGAAACCATATAGACCTTTGAAAATAAAATAGGTGAATATTTCCGAGATCTTGGGTAGGCAAAGATCCTCAGAGATGATCCAAAACACAAGACATAAAATCTGAAAACTTGACAGATATTGGACCTTTTCAAAATTAATCATTCTGCTCATCAAAGTCACTATTAAGAAAAAAGAAATGCAAGTCACAGACCATGTGTAGTGCATAAATTTTAAATGTGACGGTCAGTGAAGTGAGGCCACAAGGGGAAACAATGGAGAGACTTAAGGAAAAACAAAGTTTGTCACACTCACAGGGCCTAGAGACGGTGTGGAGCACCGTGCAGGGCCCCATGGGGCAGACACCAGGAGCCGGGGGGAGATTCAGACCACACCGGTGAACACGCAATGCAGGGTGTGTATACAAACAGGTTGGGGTTCTTATGATAAGTCTTGGCCGTGTAACGAAATGGGCCGTGGAGACTTAGCGCTGGGGAATTCCACACTCAGAACCACCCTGCCACTCGGAGCCTGAGTGATCTTACACTAACAACCTCATGTTAAATCTATCTGGCCTCTCTTCTCCCTTGGAATATAAAGTGCTGTATAACTGTGTGGGCTGCTGTTTCCCTCTGCTTTTCTTGGTTCTTCTCAGTCAGCTTGAAAACCCACGTGCCCATTTCTGACCATCAGGCACGTGCGTTTCCTCTCTTTCCTCCAATTCCCTGGTATTAAAATATTCTCCTGACAAACTGCTCTGCGATTTGATTGGAAATATCTTTTGACCACTTCTTACAAAAAGATTTGGACATTTCTGGCTTCCATCTGTCTGACTCAAAACATCTATTAAAAAAGAAAAGTAATGAAGCGATTTATAAAAGAAAGAACAGTTGGCAATTGTAAGCTTCAAGCCCATAAAATGATGACACTAAAAGCAAAATGAAATGAGAATAAATAACTTTTACAATTTTTGCTTATCAAACCCTGACAAACTAGACAATATCTTCAGATCCCAAAGGATTTTCAAACCCTGACATACTCGGTAATATCTTCAAATCCCAAAGCAAATTTCTAAAATATACTGCTTCCAATTGTGAGAGTAAAGTAAAAAAAAAAAATCAAAAAATCTTTTCTGTCACCAAATTGTGATTATTTGAGGTTAAAATGTGAATGGGGATTTTTTAGTGTAGCTGCATGGAGAGAGGCGGGCTGGTGAGGCACCAGCAGCCGCAGGCAGAGCAGTGGGGTTGCAGGTAGGCAGGCTCTTCGAGGTGCAGCAAACCCAGGAGTCTGGAGATGTCTGAAGGTCATCAAGGTGAATGTTTCCAAAAACTTGTCCTAGAGGATGGCTGTGAAATAACGACCAAGATCACAACTGCATGTCACGAGAGGTACCAACGTTGACATCCTATGGTAGCTGCAGATGGATATTCGGATCCTTAGCCATGGTATTTAAAAATCCTTTACATCCTCAAGTGTGGCCTACAACAGTGTGGGGAGGGAACTGGTTAAGAGCAAATGATGAAAATTAATATTTTATCTGACATTGATAACCTTAACAATAAATGATGTGTGTGTGGGGGGGAAACAAACAAAACACTAATGGGAATTCTCCTTCTGGGGTGACGGCATGACTAGCTCTGTGGACGTGTTCCTCATTGGCACTGGTGAAAACTGTTTTAAACAACCGGTTCCAGTCTCTGGAAATGGCCCTAAGAACATACAGCAAATGAAGAGACATTTATTCAAGAAAACTTACTAAAACTCAGTAAGGAGAGCAAGAGTCTGTGATATCTGCTTCCAACAATAGAATTAAGAGCCATGTAAAGAAACAGGAAAGTGTGACCCATACCCTGGTAATAAAGCAGCAACAGAACTGCCTGTAAGAGGGACCAGACGTTGGATTATAAACATGTTTGATGACCTAAAGGGAACTGTGATTAAAGGAGTAAGGGCTGTACCAGTTTGGTCCACATTTATTTAGACCGAAGAATGCATTTTACAGCCCATGTTGTCCAGCCGTGGGCAGAGAGTTATCCCGTGACATAGACACAGCACGTTGCATAACCTCCTGTGAGGGGTGGTTTGATAGAGAATTGAGTGGGAAGCTTGAGCTTTTGTCATCTAAAATGGGAGGAGATGGGGAAGAAGGATCTGCTGACTTCCTTCGTGAGTGTGCTCACACCCAGCGCGAGCAGGGCCCAGGGGAGAGGTCCCGCTCACAGATATCTCTACTTTTCTGCGGGCATTTGAGGAAAAGGGGCATCTGTTTTCTTGCCTTACCTAGTTGCCCCAGAAGCAGGCACGATCCCTAAGCAAGAAACTGTAGCTATACCTTTAAGCATTTGTGGCAGGATTCCTCAAGTCTGCTGGGATGCCTGTGTTTTCACCCCATCTGGCAGAATCGGGGTTGACGGTGAATGCAGCTGAGTCGCCTAGTGGTTGAGATGGCCCACCAGTCGGTACCCATCCACCGCACCCTATATGAACGGGGTTGGACTGACACTTGCTCAACTGGTATTCTGTCACAGGGGCTGAATTAATATCCCTTCCAAAGGTGGAAATCTGAGCAAAAATCAATGCTAAACGGAGAGAGGGAGAAGTGGTACCCGAGAGTAAACAAATGGAAATAAGGTGAATTAATATGACTGTGGTGCCTCAAGAAAGGCTCACAGCTGCAGGCTGACATTGTCCCTTTTTAAAAAATATGTTTTTATTGATTTTGGGAGAGAGGAAGAGAAAGGGAGAGAGAGAGAGACAGAAACATCAATGATGAGAGAGTCATTGATCGGCTGCCTTCTGCACAGCCCCTGCTGGGGATGGAGCCCGCAACCCGGGCATGTGCCCTGACCGGGAATCGAACCTTGATCTCCTGGATCATGGGTGGATACTCAACTACTGAGCCATGCCGGCCGGGCAAAAAGTGTCTAAATATTATTGTGAAAATAGTTTTGACCTCATAGGCCCTTTGAAATGCTCTCAGAGATCCCCAGTGATCCCTGGACCACACTCAAAGAATTCATAACAGTGTATTTAAACTTCGATCTCCACATCTGCAAAGTGAAAGTTATGATCAGATTGAATTATGTGCTCAATATAAAGTATTTGGCACATTTTCTGAAACATAAAATGGACTCAGTAATTGTTGCTTTTGGAGATTACACGTCTTCATTTGTACTGTCAGCTGTCACTGCGGAGAGTCCTGGCTTGGGGGACCTGTTCTCTCTCAGGACTGCCCCTAACAGCTCCCACGGGAACCCTCTGAAAGCCCCAGCCTCTTGTGTACCTTCATGAGGATTGTCCAGAAGATGCATTCATAAAACTAATAATTTTAAGAGTGCGGGTACTATAACTTGTGATATCTGTCTCAGGTTTAAAACCCTCGAGCTATCTGAAAGTTTATGTAGAAACAGCAGGACGCTAGCATCCGCCCAGCCTGTCCCCTAGGATTTTTCCTCTAAGGACAATCAGACCCAATCTCAGCTCTCCTCCAGAGAGAAGATTCAGAGATTTCCCTTTTCCTGCAGGGAGAAGATAACTAGGCAGGATATCTTATGATCCTCCTGGGGATTTGAGCTCTCAGTAGAAACCAAAGGATGTTTTTAATTCATCTGATTCTAGAGTAAAAGCTGTGCTCCCGGGCTTCTCTGAAGAACCTCCAGCAGGACCCGGGGACCCTCCTGCAGCTGGATTAAACCCCCGCAGGCTGCTGGGGCAGGAGGGTCCCACCCCCAGGCGAGGTGCTCTCTCCCCCCTGTGGGTTTACTCCAGGTCAGAGGAGGCACTGGCGAGAAAACCCAGCGCTAGCATCTCCCTGTGCACAGAGGTGAAGTCAAGCTGGGAGGGGCTTTCAGTGCGGGTCGAGGGCGCCTCTCACGGTCACCTCCCGAGGTACCTGCGTGGTGGGGCCCGAGCTTCACGTCCAGGCGTCGATTCTGAGTGAGGCTCTGAAATAGGTCAGTGAGGTTACCCCTACCTAGCCCAGTGATGGTGGTGGCGGCCGGGCAAGTTCCCTCCATGGAGAAGAATATCCTAGTAAGAGTTACGGTGAATCCTTCCCTTGCTGAAACAGTGGAAGGTGTAAGTATGCCACAGAGCTATTTCCTTTCCTGACCATCCCAGGTTATCCATTTACGGGGGTGATTATCATATGGGAATCACAGTATTTAATGTAAATGCCTTCCCAATCATTAAATAGGATAAGATGAGTGCTGAGACTCCTGACAAGAGCTGGAGACATAGAATAAAGCTCCATAGATCGGGAGACACTGGGAGCTACAGGACTGCCCAGGGGAATTGCTCACACTGACCACGCAAACCTTTTGTTATTTGGCTGCAAGTGTTTTATTTACTCTACGGGGAGGTGACACTTTAGACATCTCACCATGAGATAGTCTCCTCTATTCCAGTACTATATCTGCTTAAGAATATTAATTTACCTTCAATTTTATTTTTATGTTGCTTATTTTTAAATAGCAAAGCGATAACAGTGGCAGTGAAAATAAAAATAATAATAAATAAATCTAAAATAAAATAATAAACCTATTCACTCACACAAAAAATACTAAAAAGTTAATAAATGTGTTCCTACTGACTGGTAATAGATTGAGTTACCTTCAACAATATTATTATTCTTTATGTTCAGAGATTAAATGTGTTTCAGACATTATTTATTGTGTCTACTGTGTCTAAGCAGAGTTTTGCAATTCTCATGTTGCTATCTCTCACATTATATAATATAGGAATATTCTTGAATTATAGCAAAAATTAATGTCATAAACTTAATGCACATTTCCATAGAACCTTCCCAAATGTACTCATATTTTTTAAAGTAAAAATCTATGATTATGTCTCTGGTTCATTTTCCAGGGAGTAAATTCTGTGACCTTTTCTAG